TTGATCAAAAGTGATGATAAAGACATTTATAATGTTACAAAAGATTTCAGATCTAATCTGTTCTTCTGAACTTTCTGTTCATCAAAGAAACCTGGAAAAAAATATTATTAAATGTTTTCAACATAATAATAATAAATGTTTCTGGAGCAGCAGATCAGCATATTATACTGATTTCTGAAGATCATGTGACACTGAAGACTGGAGGAATGATGCTGAAAATACAGCTGCGCATCACAGAAATACAGCACAGTTTAACACATATATTCAAATATGATATTAAATAGAATATTAAATAGAATTAAATAGTAAAAAAAAATATTTCAGAATTTTACTGTTTTTGCTGTACTTTGGATCAAATAAATGCAGGCTTGGTGAGCAGAAGAGACTTCGTTAAAAAGAAAAGCTTTAAAAATCTTACTGTTCAAAAACTTTTGACTGGTAGTGTAGATATTAAACTCATGTAATAAACTTGGATTACTGGGAAATTCAATTTTTAACTTAATATCTATATCTGGAATTATTTTCTTAATTTCTGTTATGATGTATCTTTCGATCATTTCTTGCTCTTTATCTCCCAGGAAACATTTATATTTTGATCTAGGGTATTGTTGGGTAACTTTTTTTTTTATCTCAATATTTACTCAGTTTATTAGGGTTTTTTACCAGTTTGTTTATTGTTTGTGCTATACTACCTGTTGCACCATAAATGTCCTGGAAGGCAATGTAAATATCTATATTAAATCTATTATACATTTCTTCAGAGAAATTATCTAGCTGGGTCATACAAGGACCCACATTTCCTTTTATGCCTAAACAGGGACTATATTTTGTAAACATATAAATAGTTTTTATCATTCTCTTCTTATTCTTCATATACTTCATTTTTTGTTTTAAATTATGTATGCATTGATATTCGCTGTGATGTATATCAGGATATTTTCCAGTCTGACCGACGGTTTTTGGCTTAAAGGGTCCGATTAATATAGGTTCTCCTTTTATAAGTTCAATCACTGCAAATGCAAACTGCCTGTTTAAATCTACTTTTTCCTTGATTTTAAAGTGCCCTATAAAATCAGATATTTTAAAAGACAGAGATTGATTGATAGGAAAAAACTTATTTTTAAGAGAATAATAATAATAATTTAAATAGCAAGTAAAATTCAAATCAATTCGAATAATTACTTGGAAATATGTCATTCTGTGACTCGAGTAATTTTTCTCTCGTGTCCTCGGCTCATCCAGCTTCTCTGCATCCTGCGGAATCTCCTTCAGTCTGACAAAACATTTAGAGGGAAATCAAATAAAGAAACAAATTATTGTAGATTATATGAATCATTTCACACAATTACAGTTTTTTAAAAATGCTTAGACACTAAAAGGGATACTTGAGGCCCACTTAGTGGAACCATTCACTCATAAACCTAAGCTTTAGACCAAGTCTGCAAAACTACAAGCACATAGCATATTTAAACTCTGTCTGATACTGTAGAACAAACTGTTTGCAACACTCTAAACACCGTTCTCTACATTACACACATCATTCGAAACTAACAGCTCTTTTGTTTAAAAAAAAAACAGCATGTAACGTAATTTAACAGTAATAAACTGTAATTAATTTACGGCAACACACTGTATGAAAACAGTAACATGCTGGCAACCAGAGCTGCCAGTAGATTACGTTAATTCAAGGAAAAAAACAGTAATATACTGTAAAATGTGACCTAACAAAACAAGTTAATTACACTAAAATGTTAGTGAATGTTCATAGAAAAAAAAGTTATGCAAAGTCATTAACTGCTAAGGAGATTAAATATGAATCTGAACTGTATTTATGCGTTTTTGCTCAAGAGAGATCTGCTAGTTTAATGTAGTTGTGTGGGTCATTATTGTGCTGGAGAGCAGAGCCTGTGCTTCAGTCAATGCTCAGCTGCTTTATTTAAAGACAGTAACTGTGCTGTTGCTGATACAGTGACAATCTCTTCACTGAGTATTTTAGTACATAAATGTGTGCTATGCTAATTAATGACAATCTACAAAGATTTGAGTAAAACTCATGTTTTGGTTGCTTTTTTTTATTACACTTAAAGTGTTTGTGGTTTCATATTAAGAAATATGTCTTCTTAGTGGACTCAAATGAAATACTTAAGTTCACTGTACTAACACCATATAAACAGTAGCTTTTTTAAACTCGAATGATTTGAAGCAATCGGCTTCCAAAATGAAATGAGTGTGTTGTAATAACGGTAACATACTGTAAACATGAAGAGCTGTAAATTAACTGTACAATGCTGGCAACAACAGCTGCCAGTAGATTACCGTTATTTTACAGCGCATTTTTTAGTTAACGAACTAAGAATGAACAATAGTTCTTCAGCATTTATTAGTTTTAGTTATTGTTAATTTCAGCATTTACTAATGCATTATTAAAATCAACAGTTGTGCTTGTTAACAGTTAATGCACTGAATTAACAAGAACTAAAAGTGAACAACTGAATTCTCATTAACTGACATTAGGAAATGTTAATAAATACTGTAATAAATGTATTGTTCAGTCATGTTAGTTAATACATTAACATTAACTAATGGAACCTTATTGTAAAGTGTTACCAACATTTTTACTAAAAAGTATCTACATTATGATGCTACATCAACATAAAGTGCAATTCAAATTCAACCTAATATTCAGTTTTTGCTTACAGTTTTTACAGTCACTAGCATCTATTTCTCAATAGAGTTGTGAAAAATGAGATATGTGTTGAGAAATAGGTTCTAGCCTTTGTAAATAACTGTAAACACAGTTTTGACATAAAATATTTACTTGAAGTACCCCAGAGATTTTAAGTGAATATTTCAATATCTAAACAAATTAGCATTTTTAGGATTTAATTAATTACTTAGCTTCTAATGAACTCAGAAACCCCAGTTTGGGAAACCCTGTCCTACCAAATACTTAAAGATCATTTCAAAACAAATAATTCCCAAATGAAAGTACAGAAAGTCTAATAAGAAACAGCAGGCATACGGGAAGACGTGAGAAACAGAACCTCCTGCATCTGAAGCAGTGGCAGAGCTAGAGTTTTTTACATGGGCTGGCCAAGGCTAATTATAGCATGAAATAAATTCAGTGTATGACTCCAACCTGGCATTAAAAAAAGCATGTATAAATCCTACGATTGCTGATTACGTCACATTACCCCACATTAGCTGTACATTCCTACCGTAACTATAAATGTTAGTCTATTGGAACTTATTTCTCTTATTTCTATCATCTGATTAACCAGCGTTTGGAGCAAAATATGTAACATTAACTTATACAGTGAATTTTGTAAATGTTGTTCAGGAAACCTAAAACGTCAACTTACTTTACTCGGGAATAATTAACAAGCTTGAGATTAATGCATGTTATTTTCTTCTCAATTTTTCTAAAGAAAGCTATACAGGGAATCCTATTGTTAAGGTTAAAAGTAATTAATTTGAAGCTATACAAGTTTATATTAGACCATTTTTATAATAACGATATATCTATACATTTTTATTAATTATAATAAAAAATACTACAGTCTCCAAGCTCACAGCGTCCCAAACATAAATCATTTTTATATTTATTTATATTTATATTTCATTGTCTGGCTATCTGGGATTTCGGTATGGAGTTAAAGGTTAGGATTATAATTATTTTTGGTAGTATTATATCACATTGTGAGTGTATATTAGCACCTTTTGTTGTTTTCTCGTGGTGTCTGATAGAGCGTTTGAACGCGGTGACGTGTGACGTCAGACTTAACAAGCGGATAGCCGAGGCTGGAAGGTACACCGGACGAGATGAAGCGCAAAGCAGCACACCAGATGTGTCGTGTCCTTGAGTTCGAGGCTAAAATAAATGCTTCTTTCAGTACGATTAAACAAAGAACATGAAATTGTAGCATATTCAATTTTGGGGTGGCCAATCAGATGTCGGGGATGTCCAGCGCCACCCTGGACACCCTCTGGACACGCCACTGATCTGAAGCAGTGAAGGTGAACAGAATCTGTGAACATGGGGTGCATAAATTGGTTCTTACCTTTCGACATCATCTAGCTCACTTTCATCTATAATGAAAAAGGAGAATCAAAACCAATCATTAGTATGATCTTAAGTTTTAATCTTAATGTAAACCTCAAACGTAGCAGAAAAGTAGTATTGTGTTTAAGCATTTTAAAATTAAAAGTAATATAATCCTTAAGAGTAGAAATTCTCAAACCAGCTCCGTAGGTGCCAGCAGCAAATTAAATGTAATCTTTGTTTCAGAAAGCCATTTTTTAAAGCCATGATTAACTATTCTGGATTAAGGCCTTCTCTTGTCTTAATTTAAACCCTGTCAAATGTAAACGTGCTGCAAAATGGCCAGAAATGGAATTGAGATTTTATTGGAGTTGCTTGCGGGGGACACAGACAGCAGGGCGGTGACGCTGCATTGGAAAACAAACAAGGACATAAACACACATGGGCTTCGTCTGTAGTTTAAGGCTCGGATGTGGCACTCAGGGCAGGGAGAACTCTGGGATTGATATTTCAGGTCGTCACTACAACAGCTCTCGGAGAGATTCATTCCTCTAAACTCAACGTTCACAAGCGACAGCTTTCAAAAAGAAACAAAAACAGGTGTATAACAAGTAAAAACAACATAACACGTCTCTAACATACATGTGTGGCATATTCATATTCTCATAATGACGGGAGCAGATCAGAGATGAGCCGACGGAGTGCGGATGGCACATTTTTGCGCGGTTAAATATTGTGCAAAGTTTGTCCTTTTAAAGTGAGCAGTATTCAGTAGAATAAATAAATGTAGATATCTGTAACCGTTATATTTCCTCTCACACATATTCTTCAGTCCCTTTATGATGAGCTTGTGGTTTGACTATACACTGCGCTCAAAGTATTTACTAAAATGTCTATATACTGTAGTCTCCTCACAAAAAGCAGAATTGTTCCCTTGTCATGCAGTAACAGTGATCCAGTGCGGCGCCTGTAAGCGTGTGTGTGTGCGTTACTCCAGACGTGTTCAGATGGCGTTTGCTGCAATTCATTCGCTTATGCTGCTGTTCCCGTGTTGATTTCTCTGAAGCATCCTTCATTTTCCACAGCGTGAGCACATGAGTTCCTCCAGCAGGCATGAAGATGATGTTAATCCTGAAAATGAACAAAACAGAACATTCAGTCAATAACAGGAACACGCAGTGAAGGAACAGAAAACACCTTCAGAGGAGCAAAGCTTGACGTGAGTCTGCCAGTGATGATGTCGTCATGCATTTCAAATAACATAAAAACACAGGCCTCAGTAACATGCCTCCATGTCAACATTATCTCACTGACACTGAAGATCTACATTTTCCTCAGGAAAATGTCAGTGGTGTTTCCCGTGCAACAATGACAGAGTTCCGGGTGGTTTCCAGGGCATTGCTATGTGGTTGCTATGGTGTACTGGGCAGTTGCCATGTGGTTTACAGGGTTGTTATGGTGTTCTGGATGGTTACTAGGTTGTTATGGTGTTCTGGGTAGTCGTTAGGGTGTTCTGGGTTGTTGTTAGAGTGTTTTGGGTGGTTGCTAGAGTTGCATTGGTGTTCTGGGCAGTTGCTATGGTAATCTGGCTTGTTGCTAGGGTGTTTTGGGTGGTTACTATGTGGTTGCTAGGATTGTTATGGTGTTCTTAGTAGTTGGTAGGGTGTTCTGGACGGTTGCTAGGGCTCTTTTTGTGTTCTGGTTGGTTGCTAGGGTATTATGGGTGGTTACTATGTGGTTGCTACGGTTGTTATGGTGTTCTGGGTAGTTGTTAGGGTGTTATGGGTGGTTACTATGTGGTTGATAGGGTTGTTTTGGTGTTCTGGTTGGTTGTTAGGGTGTTCTGGGTGGTTGCTAGGTTTGTTGTGATGTTCTGGTTGGTTGCTAGGGTGTTCTGGGTGGTTACTATGTGGGCGTTAGAGTTATTTTGGTGTTCTGGTTGGTTGGTTTGAAGGGTGTTATGGGTGGTTACTATGTGGTTGCTATGGTTGGTTGTTAGGGTATTCAGGATGCTGGTTGCTAGGGTTTCATGGGTGGTTACTATGTGATTGTTAGGGTTGTTTTGGGTGGTTGCTAGGGTTGCTATGGTGTTCTAGGTGGTTGGTAAGGTGTTCTGGGTGTTGTTAGGGTGTTCTGGGTGGTTACTGTGTAGTTGCTAGGGTTGTTTTTTTGTTCTGGGTGGTTGCTAGGGTGTTCTGGATGTTGCTAGGGTGATTTGGGCAGTTGCTGTGTGGTTGCTCTGGTGTTATGGTTAGTTACTATGGTGTTCTGGGCTGTTTCTATGTGGCTGCTAGGGTGTTCTAGGTAGTTGCTATATGGTTACTATGATGTCCTGGGTTGTTGCTATTTAACTCTGGGTGAATGCCCAGATTAGTAAACAGTTAGTCAACACAATTAATCTCAGTGAGCGTCATCATGTGGTCACATGACTCATGGAGATGATCTGCAGTACCGCTCTCTACCAGCAGATTATGGGTGGTTACTATGTGGTTGCTAAAGTTGTTATGGTGTTCTGGGTAGTTGTTAGGGTGTTATGGGTGGTTACTATGTGGTTTCTACCGTTGTTATGGTGTTCTGGGTAGTTGTTAGGGTGTTGTGGGTGGTTGCTAGGGTTGTTTTGGTGTTCTGGTTGGTTGCTAGGGTTTTTGTGGTGTTCTGGTTGGTTGCTAGGGTGTTATGAGTGGTTACTATGTGGTTGCTAGGGTTGTTTTGTTGTTCTATGTGGTTGCTAGTGTTGCTATGGTGTTTTGGTTACTTGCAAGGGGTGTTCTGGGTGATTACTATGTGGTTGTTAGGGTTGTTTTGGTGTTCTGGTTGGTTGTTAGGGTGTTCTGGATGGTTGCTAGGGTTGTTGTGATGTTCTGGTTGGTTGCTAGGGTGTTCTGGGTGGTTACTATGTGGTCGTTAGGGTTATTTTGGTGTTCTGGTTGGTTGGTTGGAAGGGTGTTATGGGTGGTTACTATGTAGTTGCTATGGTTGTTTTGGTTGGTTGTTAGGGTATTCAGGATGCTGGTTGCTATGGTTTCATGGGTGGTTACTATGTGATTTTCAGGGTTATTTTGGGTGGTTGCTAGGGTTGCTATGGTGTTCTAGGTGGTTGTTAAGATGTTCTGGGTGTTGTTAGGGTGTTCTGGGTGATTACTATGTGGTTGCTAGGGTTGTTTTGTTGTTCTGGGTGGTTGCTAGGGTGTTCTGGATGTTGCTAGGGTGATTTGGGCAGTTGCTGTGTGGTTGCTCTGGTGTTATGGTTAGTTACTATGGTGTTCTGGGCTGTTCCTATGTGGCTGCTAGGGTGTTCTAGGTAGTTGCTATATGGTTACTATGATGTCCTGGGTTGTTGCTATTTAACTCTGGGTGAATGCCCAGATTAGTAAACAGTTAGTCAACACAATTAATCTCAGTGAGCGTCATCATGTGGTCACATGACTCATGGAGATGATCTGCAGTACCGCTCTCTACCAGCAGAATGCAGTGAGTTCAACCATATATGTCAAGTCAAGTCAAGTTGCTCCTGATCTCACACACAGACGATCATCATGTCATTCTGTTACAGGTGTGAGTAGTTAGTTCACACTCTGAAAGCAGCAGTCAGACGTCCGCAGAAGTAAACAGCCAAAGCGTCACCGGTGTTAGAACAGCAGCCAATAGCAGCGCTCCAGAGCACAGCACAGCAGCCAATCAGCTCGCAGTCAGCCAAGCCTACTCAAGCTGTGATTGGCTGTGGTCTTACCTGCATCACTCCTCCGGCGTGATCTCCGTCTCTTTATGCACCACCACTTTGGTCACTGACATGTCGGGGTGTTGTTCTTTAGCCTCTTTAATGGCCTGAGCCAGAGCCTGACCCACAGTGACACCACATCGTCATCACAGGCCACACCCCCCAACACACACACATCACCATCACAAGCCACGCCCCCAACACACACACACACACACACACACATCACCATCACAGGCCACACCCCCAACACACACACACACATCACCTTCACAAGCCACGCCCCCAACTACTGCTGTCACAATTATGATAAAAATTGATGCAAACTGCTGAATCCAGTCATTAGAGTTCATACAGGATCATTCTACATATCCACAGTCACCATCTGTAAACAAATCATCAGCTGATCAACTTTTAGTATGTCACGATAATACAGTCATTTTTCTGAATAAAATCCAGCAACTCATGTAATATATTTATTTATTTTTATTAAAAAAATTTTATCTTTCTTTCAGGACGTAAACTCTAACAGCACAAGTTAAAAGTCTTATATTACAATATTCCTCCTATGTTTTATGTTTGTTTAGAGGATGATCATTAAATGTCAACATTATTAGCATGATGTTTTTTGTAGAAATATCAGCATGAAATTCACCATAAACTGATCTGAAGGAATAATTATACTTGAATTTCTTTAAAAGTCTGGAAACAGCAGCATTTGATAGAATGACTCTGAAGGAACCGTAGTAAAGCTTCAGTGAAGGTCTCACCTCGTCATGATCGATGTCTGCATCTCCTGAGATCACGATTCTCTTCTCAATCCGTGTTTCTGAGATGCCGCCCTTCACCGTCTGTCAAACACAAACACACACACACACACACACACACACACACACACACACACACACACACACACACACACACACACACGCGCGTTTGTTTCTGTGAATTGTGGGGACTGTCCATAGACTTCTATTACTTTTATACTGACCAAACGATATTTTCTATCCCCTCACACACACTCACTCACTCACTCACTCACACACACACACACACACACTCACTCACTCACTCACTCACACACACTCACACACACTCTCACACACACTCGCACACACGCACACACACACACACACACACTCACACACACACACACACACTCACACACACACACACACACGCGCACACACACACACACACACACACACACACACACACACACAGAGCCGTTACGCGGATGGTTCTGATGGTCAGTAATGCAGCAGCGGTCAGTACCTTGGTGATGTGTGTGGTGGTGCTGGTGCTGGTGGTTTCTGATGTGATGGTCTGAGCGCTCAGCAGAATGCCAGGATCAGCGTCTCCATCTGTCTCGCCCTGCAACGATCCAACAACACTCAAAACACAGCATCACACCACATTCAAGATGTTTTAATGTTTCTGAAAGAAGTCTTTTCTGTTCACTAAAGCTGCATCTATGTGATCAAAAATACAGTAAAAATGTGAAATATTATTACACTTTAAAACAGCTGTTTTCTATGTGAATATGTGTTAAACTGTAATGTATTTCTGTGATGCGCAGCTGTATTTTCAGCATCATTCCTCCAGTCTTCAGTGTCACATGATCTTCAGAAATCAGTATAATACGCTGATCTGCTGCTCGAGAAACATTTCTGATTATTATCAATGTTGAAAACAGTCGTGCTGCACAATATTTTTGTGGAAACTGTGATACATTTTATTTTTCAGGATTCACAGATGAATAGTAAGTTCAAAAGAACAGCATTTATTTGAAATAGAAACATTTTGTAACATTAGAAATATCTAAACAAACATCTTCATTTAATCTCACTGCTGTCTTGAAGGAGTGTGTCTGAGATGAGATTCTTCAGTGTGTTTGTGGTGGATGAGATGAGTGTGAGTGACACACACCTGCAGGGACTCGTATGTGATGGTCTTCATCTCCGTGTGGATCTGTGTGTCCGTGTCTCCTGACAGAGTCCTGGAGAAACTCACCACACCTGACTGAGGAGCGACAGAGAGATGAGAGACTCGTCACACACACACACACACACGCACACACACACACACTCTGGTTTGTTTTTATGGTTTGTGGGTTACCGGTGTCTTTTATACAGGTAACAAGTTCAAACAGGTGCAATTAATACAGGTAATGAGTGGAGGATAGGAGGGCTTCTTAAAGACAAACTAACAGGTCTGTGAGAGCTAGAATTCTTGCTGGTTGGTAGGTGATCAAATACTTATTTCATGCAATAAAATGGAAATTAATTATTTAAAAATCATACAATGTTATTTTCTGGATTTTTTTTTTTGATTCGGTCTCTCACAGTTGAGGTGTACCTACGATGAAAATTACAGATCTCTCCATTCTTTGTAAGTGGGAAAACTTGAAAAATCAGCAGTGTATCAAATACTTATTTGCCCCACTGTATAAGCCTTTTGAATTACGGGGACACTGAAAATGTCCTCATAAATCACCTTCTCATTGTAATACCTATGTCATAGCCATGTTATTATACAAATTTGTGTCCTCATAAACCACAAACATGCACACACACACACACACACACACACGTGTCATATACATACATCACATCATAGAGACATTCACTCATTCTTATTAACTGCTCTAGTCTACATCAATCAGGTAATCTGATGATCATCAATAACTGATGGAAACAGACACTGGGAAAGAGACGAGGAGGAACGAGGAGTTCTGGGAGAGAACAGACCGAACACATGATCTTTCAGAACAAACGCTTATGCAGTCAGCAGGAAAAGTGTCGACTCACAGAGAGCAGGAAATCTTCCTTATTATCTACTTAATTATTTATAAATCATTAATGGCATGGTATTGTATCATATTGAAAAGAGACAGAGATCTCTCTCTCACACACACACTCAAACAAACTTAAACACACAGACACACACACACACACACACACACACACACACACACACACACACACACACACACACACTCACACTCACACACACAAACTCACAGACACACACACACACATTGTGAAAACAATCTTCTCATAAGAAGCTTGTTGTTGGTCTGAGAATGGTCACACACACACAAAGTCACAGACACACACACACACAGACGCACACACACACACGTTGTGAAAACTGAATGTTCTCATAAGAAGCTCATTGTTGGTCTGAGAATGGTCACAAACACACACTATACGCCGGCGCTAGTGAGGAGAGGGTGGATGTTCTGGGGGGTTCAGGTTTGGGGTCGCGGGGTCATGAGGTCACCTCTAAACCTGCGGTCAGTTCTACCTCCCCACTGTGACCTTCAGCCACACCCCTCTGCTCGGAGGGGCTCCTGTTGGGCGACTGCTCATCATCATCATCATCATCAGTGGACAGAGAGAAGCTCTCTCCTCCAGACTCGCTGTCGCTCTGGGGACCTGCCCTCGCGGGGCCCACGTGCGTGAGGGGCCCGGAGAAGTTAGCCGAGTTTACACTGCTGGAGTCGCTGTCAGACTCAGAATCGTTGAGGGCTCGCACTGAGCTCAGCGGCTCCACACACGCAACACACGCTTGATAATACACCGCAGGCTCCCAGGGGCCCTCTGGAGGCTCAGGTACCTGAGGCTGAAGTTCCTCTGCCGGCGGCTGCTGATCCTCTTCTTCAGCCGGATGACTCTCTGGACTCTCTGATGGCTGCCAGAGAAATAAAGAACATATGATCAACAGGCAGAAAACCAAACAGAATCAACAACAAAAACTGAATTAGCAGCTTTTATATCTTCTAATTAGTAAAGTACAATGCAAAAAAAAAGCTTTTCTTAGATTTTTGTCTTGTTTCCAGCCAAGATACCTAAAAATTCTTAAATCAAGAAGGATTTTTTAGATAAGTGAAGATTATTGTCGTTTTCACAAACAACAAGTCAAAATTAAGTGAGTTTTTCCTTAGAACAAGCAAAATAATCTTACTTCAAACAGAAAACAAGATTATTTTGCTTACCTCATTGGCGGATTATTTTGCTTTTTTCAAGCAAAAAACAATTAATTTTGACTTGTTTTTTCTGTAAACAAGACAATACTTTTTACTTGTCTAGAAAACCCTTCGTGATTGAAGAATGATGAAAATTAAGCAAGTTTATGGTTACAATTATAAAAAATATCTGCCCATGGAATAAGAAAAACAATCTTCTTTTCCATTTGAATGAAGTTGATTTTTCTGACAGATTTTTGTTGTTGTTTTAAGCATAAACTCACTTGATGTTACCAAATCTTCCACAAGTAAAAAAGTAATTTTGCTTCTCCACTAAATGTATCTTGACTTAAGAATATTTAGATATTTTGTACTGGAAAAGACAAAACCAAAATACAAAACAAGACAAAAATACTAAGCATAATATCAACACTGCTCCCGTTCAGTAAAAATGAAATGACATGATGTCTGATTGAGGACAGACTCATTTCTAGAGTTTCTTCAGAGCTGCACCTTGTGTAATGCGATCGTCTGCGTGATCGGAGCAGGAGACGCAGACGCAGACGCAGACGCAGACGCAGACGGAGTCCAGCTGTGAGTGGACTGCAAGAGTGCTGTGAGCTCAGGAGACATCTCATCAAAACTGGGCTTAGGCTGAACACAGAGAGACACACAGCGTTAAACACACATACACACACACACACACACACACACTCACAGAGACACACACACACAAGAGCATTCTGGGTAATTAAGGGAGTGAAGGGGCTCATTTAGGACTTATTCATAAGAGAACACCTGCTGCACTGTACATGCATTGTGCAAAGAATTGACTTTATAATTTACAAGAGAAATAAAATTAATGCAATTTTTTTTTTAATGCATTTTTCAACTTAAAATCAGAGTTGTCTCATGTAAAGGCCGGAAATGCAGCTGCATGAATCATTTCTGAGCCAAACACACCAGTGACATGCAAACAGTGAGAGTGAGCGGATCGGTTTGGTCAGAGAAGGATTCAAGCAGCTCAAAGGTTATGATGACCAATAATCTTATTTATAACGTTTGTCCAGCAGGTGGCGCTAACACCAAGCTGATGGAATGATGCCTACAAAATGTTGTTAATTTGCAGAAGTGCTGCAGGAACACAACTTTACTTCTTGTTTGGTGCTTCACCAGCAGATCTGTTGTGACAAACTTTGAAGCTGGCTTGATAAAGCTAGACCAGAAAGTTAAAAAAAGTTTTAAAAGCTTGAGTTTATCTAGTTTACAACGAAGACCTTCTGCAGCCGTTTGACTCATGATCTCTGAAGATAAAAGAGACTCTCTTATGAATAAACCCTCATATCCAGCAGCAGCCAGAGCGCAAAACAAAGACGCTGCCGTTCCTCAGTCATGACTAAAGCAAAGCAGCGGCATTCTCCAAAACAATGAAGAAAACAGGCTCCTGCTCTCAGGGTCGGTGAGAAGAGGCTCAAAACAACAAACAGTGACAGCAAATTCCAGCCAGAGGGATTTGTGTCAGACCAAAACAACCGAACTCAAATCAGGAGCGTGTGTGGAGCTCTGGCTTCAGAGTTCGTCTGAGACCTCAAAGCCAGGCCGAGGAGAGCGAGATGTCGGGAAATCCTACCACTCGAGCCGTCGGAGACGTTCTGCTGAGATCCACAGGAGAGCGGAGACGCATCTTACTGATCTGCTCAGACACAACGGAGAAACCCTCTAGAGATCCGGTGAGTTGATCTTTTGGAGGTTCACCGGACGACACCGTGCTCGAGGCGGATGTGAATCTGTAGCTGGCGATGCGTTTCTTCTCTGGAACCTTCGGGGGGACTTTTGGTGGTACTTTAGGAGGAACATGCTCTGAATAACCAACAGAAGGAACCTTTATGGGTTCAACCTTTCCTTGGACCACCGTAGAAACCTTTTCTGGCACCTTCGGAGGAATTCTCTTTGGAGAAACCTCTTCAGATACGATGGATGATGGTTTCTTTGGTTCCACTGGAGGAAACTTTTCTGGTATCTTCAGAGGAGTCTTCTTAGGAGAAAACTCTTCAGATACAATCAAAGAAGGTTTTTCTGGAGGAAAAGTTTCTTGTACTATGGTAGAAACCTTTACTGGTATCTTAGAAGGAGTTTTCCTTGGAAAATCCCATTCAGATACAATGGACAGGGTTTTTTCTGGAGGAACCTTTTCTGGAATCTTAGAAGGAGTTTTCCTTGGAGAATCCTCTTCAGATACAATGGACAAGGGTTTTTCTGGAGGAAACCTTTCTCGAATCTTAGAAGGAGTTTTCCTTGGAGAATCCTCTTCAGATACAATGGACAAGGGTTTTTCTGGAGGAAACCTTTCTCGAATCTTAGAAGGAGTTTTCCTTGGAGAATCCTCTTCAGATACAATGGACAAGGGTTTTTCTGGAGGAAACCTTTCTCGAATCTTAGAAGGAGTTTTCCTTGGAGAATCCTCTTCAGATACAATGGACAAGGGTTTTTCTGGAGGAAACCTTTCTCGAATCTTAGAAGGAGTTTTCCTTGGAGAATCCTCTTCAGATACAATGGACAAGGGTTTTTCTGGAGGAAACCTTTCTCGAATCTTAGAAGGAGTTTTCCTTGGAGAATCCTCTTCAGATACAATGGACAAGGGTTTTTCTGGAGGAACCCTTTCTGGAATCTTAGAAGGAGTTTTCCTTGGAGAATCCCATTCAGATAAAATGCACAAGGGTTTTTCAGGAGGAAACTTTTCTGGAATCTTAGAAGGAGTTTTCCTTGGAGAATCCTCTTCAGATACAATGGACAAGGGTTTTTCTGGAGGAACCTTTTCTGGAATCTTAGAAGGAGTTTTCCTTGGAGAATCCTCTTCAGATACAATGGACAAGGGTTTTTCTGCAGGAAACTTTTCTGGAATCTTAGAAGGAGTTTTCCTTGGAGAATCCTCTTCAGATACAATGGACAGGGGTTTTTCTGGAGGAACCTTTTCTGGAATCTTAGGAGTTTTCCTTGGAGAATCCCATTCAGATACAAACAAATAAGTTTTTTCTGGAGGAAATGTCTCCTGTACTATGGTAGAAACCTTTTCTGGAAGCTTAGAAGGAGTTTTCTCTGGAGGAAGCTCTTCAGATTTGGCGGACGAGGGTTTTTCTGGCTCAACTGGAGGACGTTGTTCTTGTACTACGGTGGAAACCTTCTCTGGTATCTTACGAGAAAGCGTTTCTGCTTCGACTGGAGGACGTTTATCTGGTTCAAACGGATGAACCTCCTCAAACGGAGGAACCTTTATAATGACCCACCCATCAGACTCCTACATGTAACACACAAAGATCATGTTAGCAGACTGGAGGGAAAGCACTGTTAGTCACGCCTGATCCATGAAGACTGAGACAGACAGACAGACTGACGCTGCTGAGCTCAATGACACACATCATCATGATCATGAGCATCTGATGAGGAGGAATGGATCACCTACCACATCAACCTTCTCTTTCTGCGGCTCCAGAGCTGCTGCGGCCACTTCCTGTATCTCCACCGCTGCTTCCTGTTTGAGCTAAAGCAACAGACATTTTAAAAAAAGAGTCAAAATGATGGAGCTGAATGCACTGCACTTTTTCTATTTAGTATTTTTGTCTCATTTTCCATTAAAAATATCTAAACGTTCTTGAAACAAGATACATTTACTTGAGAAGCAAAATGATATTTGTTTGGTTTTCTGAGAAAGTTATCAAACTTTTGTTGGTTTTTTGTTGGGTAAAAAAAAAAGATTTTGTGCTTTTGTTGAAGATCCAAACCACATCACATGTCTAATTATTTTAATAATAATTCATTTAAAAGATCATGGCCAGTAGTTTTAATCAAAAATGGCTGCAAGAAATTTATAAATTAAATAAATAAATGTGAGGTTCATAATATATTTGATATACATCTCACAAAATGTATTTTATTCTTTAATTTCCTACATACACACGCACACACACACACACTCTCACGCACACACACACACACACATATACACACACACTCTCGCACACACACACATCACACTCACTCACACTCACACTCACTCACTCTCACACTCACTCACTCTCACTCACTCACACTCACTCACACACACACACACACACACACACACAGACTCACTCACTCACTCACTCTCACTCTCACACTCACACACACTCACTCTCGCACTCACTCACACACACACTCACTCTCACACTCACTCACTCACTCACTCACTCACTCACTCTCGCTCTCACACTCACTCACACTCACACTCACTCACTCTCACACTCACTCACTCTCACTCACTCACACTCACTCACTCTCTCACACACACACACAC